TCTCTCTCTCTCTCTCTCTCTCTCTCTCTCTCTCTCTCAACAGTCTCAGCGTCAATGTACCATGACAATCTTGTATGGAGGATAATAGCTTTAGGTGCGAACGAGCGCTGCCTGCCTGTCCTATTTGTGACTTTAAATAGGTTGGTCCTTTTTTGTGTAATTTTCTTTTGGTTTTCTAAGTACAAGTTGTTACTATCCGATGATTGCTTGGTCTCCTCATCTTGTTACCATATTTCAGATGGGAGCCTAGTTTCGGACTTGTATTTGACTTTGTAGCATGTCATATAGTTAAAGATATTTTGAACAGTTATTTTCCATTCTGAGCTTGCTTAGGTTATGTTTTTAAGTTCTAAGTTATCATCTTTTCTGATGTCTAATGATTTGGATCATGACAGCTACGACTCATATCAAGCCTTTGTTGACTTCGGGCCAGACGGTTTCATCTCTCATGAGGTATAAAAGCAACACATATATCTATAACTAAACTAAGGGTTGTGGGAACATGTACTAGTCATTTTCGTATAATACACTTCATTTTCAATATAAAGTCTAGTTCGAGAGATTATGTTAACAAAAATAGTCCATTTTATTTGATTTTTTCGGCACTCTACCCTTTTTACATTTCATGTGGCTTTGTTTCATTTGTAGACATTTGGATGGATTCCTCAAGAAGCCAAATTACAAATGGTTCCCAATTACTTCAGTGCTTCGGAGGTGAGAAAAGTATTTTAGGTAATGCCATGTTTGTTTAATGAACCCATAAACTGAAAATTAGTGTGGCATTCTAAAATCAAACAATACAAAACTAGAAAAACCAAATAATCTTTTCTGTTAACATTTTTTTTTGCTCTTTTAAGTGAATGTTGTATTGATACTAAGAGTTCTGATAAAGTGTTGGAATTTTAGTGGACTATCATTGCTGATGTTCTTGGAGCCAATCCACGGCATCTGTTTGAGCTTTATGCCCTTAGGAAAAGTGATCATTACCAAAGGTATATGTACCCTCTTCTTTTGCATTCTCTCTTATTCTATATATCTGGTTTGTTTCACCTTTGTGGGTTTCATCATCTTCACTAACTAAAAGGAAACATAAAAACAAGTTTTTCGATATGTAACCAAAGCCATTGTTGTTGTTTCTTCAGTTTGGTGGGGAAAAGCCGATATTGTGGATGCATACTTGGCATATTTACAAGTATGTTTGCTTAAACTGATTAATTGCAGCTGCTTTCAAAGACTTCTTGTACACATGATGAAAGTTATGTTTTATAATTATTTGTTCCTTTGTTATATAGGTTGCTGTGGTTAATCCTGCAATGGAAAAAGCTTTGTTGCGGCTTCAACGGTATGCCTCTGATGTACGAAAGGGAAGCATTCCGGATGAAAAATTACGCTTTAGTGCTGCATGGAGGCATCCTCCACGTAGCGAGGATCCTACTCTCTGCTCCGAGTGGGCTAAAATTCAGCTGATGGACTTTGTCCAAGCTCTAGTCAATACAGAACTCGCGGTACAACTCTTCTATTACCTTGATTGAAATGACGCAAATTTTTCTCATTTTACGTTACCAGAAATCAAATGGATGATTACTAGTATCATTGATAATGTATAAGCATCAGTGGTTCTATAGGTAAATTATTTGGGTCACTACAGTCTTAAGATCTTTGAAGAACCTTCTTCTGTGGCATTGATCGGGGTAAAATTTCTATTGTTTCATGATCCTTAGAGACTAATATTAAGACCAATTTTTACTAAATAGGGTTGAGTCTGGTCCAGGTTGGGATACTTTATACTCAGAGCGATCCTTCTTTCTTCCCTCTTATATCCCAATTCCCAAGGCATTAAAAGATGCCTTGTTAGATGGTGATGAAAGTTTTCCATTTTCCCATGTACCTTCTCTCTGAAATCTTCTTATACACATGCGTGATTTACATTACAGGCTTACCCAAGAGCGAATGCAGATGAGTTACTGAAGCTCAACCAAATATTGGTGGCAGAGAATCATTCGGGATCGTTATTACAAGCATCTATGCTTGGATACAGAACATAGGAAGTTTCACACAGGTACACACGCCTAACATAATCTCTTTCTAGCTCTCTTAAATTTTACAAGAGTACGAATATTATAGGACTATAAGTAAACACTGCCGAATCAATTACTGATCTCATTCAAGTTCATTGCGTTATTGTATATGTTGAGATGAAGCAATAAAGAAGATTAGTAGGAATAAAATGAAGTGCAGCAAAGTTCAGTGAAATGCGACGAAGTGCAGTGAAGTGCGGCGAAGTGCAGTGAAGTACAATGAAATGTAGTGAAATCAGGATAACAAGACAAGGTAAGAAGAAGTTGGGGAGACTCAATATAGATGTTGGGAGTCTCCAGAAATAAAGAGAATCAAATTTGGATGATGTACTCAGTTCGGTTTGATTTAGACAAGAAGAAATCACATGTGTTAATTAAGAGAAGCTGCTCGACTTGTTATTATCAAACCAAAGAGACTGTGCCTCTCTCTTTTGGCACTCTCACTACCTCTGGTCATGCATCACTTGGCTCTATCCTCTTTGTCTTCATCAGAAATCCTACATAATTACTTGTTTATGTTCTCCTATTTTAATAGGAGAAAATGACTAAAATAGCACTAAAATTTTTTTTGTCAAAAATATTGCATTTAAGAATAAAAATGATCAAAATAGCACTTAATGTTTTATCAAAAGAGATAAATATACACTTATATCCCAATGATAATTTAGATATTAGGGTTTAGAGTTAAAGGGTGGGATTTAGGGTTTAGGGTTTAGAGTTTAGGGTTTAGAATTTAGGTTTTAGGGTTTAGAGTTAAGGAGTGGGGTTTTGGGGATAAGATTTCAATTTTTAAAAAATTAAAAAATTTTAAAATTTTCAAAAGATAAAATGCTATTTTAGTCATTTTAATTTTTAAGTGTTATTTTTGTGACATAAACTTAGAAATGTGCTATTTTCGAGATTTTCCCTTTTAATAATTGTTTAGTGTTGTGTATGGCCTATTTAAAAGATGTTTCATCACTTGTACCACTCATCATTAATCAATAGAAAAGTTTCTTTTACTAAATTTTTGTGCTCTCTCTCTCTTACTTGTGTCTAGCTAAAATTCACACTGTAAGGGATTAAGCACTATGGTTTAGATTCTTCTCTTACTTGCGCCTTAACTCTTTGTCTTTTAAGGTAGCCTAATACTTGTTAAAATCACTCTAGACTCTTCTTTATCTACTGTCTTAAATTATAGCTTACTTATTCTAAGTCCCATTAATTTAAGTACACAAACTCTAAGTGTTGTGTTACTTCTCTAAGATTAGATTCATACTAGAGAGTTTCTCCTTCATATAACCAGTTTACTGTCTAGGATTCTTAGTTATATAGTAAGCTGTCTATGAGGATTCAATCACAAGTTAGTTGTCTCTTCCTTGTAATGGTGATTTCATATTGTTAGGTAGAAGGGGATTCGGTCACAAGTTAACTGAATACTCTCTTGACATGAGACAAACATTCATTAATTCCAACATGGTATCAGAGCCTTGTTGCTCTTCTTTGGGATCAAACTCACCTATCTTCTCTTTGTTCTGAATACATCATTTCTCTCCCAATCTGATATAGTGTAAGCTTAGTAAATATTTGTTAGTATCTTGAAATCAAGCTTGCGGAAGAGAAGAGATTCTAAAATGCTTGACCATTATGCTTTATCCATTGGATAATAGCTCTCTCTTAATGGAGCATTTCTTTGACCAGTGGACAAACGGTTTTGATCCCTTGATTCATTGTTGTGTAAGCCACATAAACACTTGTTCATGTGTTATTCGATGGTTCACTTGTTGTAAGCCTTAGAAAACATCAGTTCATGAATTATTCCAGTGGCACATGTCTAAGATCAGTGAATAAATTAATTGTTCAGTGGTCCATTATGTTTCAGCTACTATAGCACCAAACTCTTGATGAGTATTGGATGCTCCTGTCTGTTAATGCTTCCGCAAAACTCAAGAAAACAGAGCAAAACTTTGTCCACTAGAACTCTAGAAAAAAATCTCTATTCTCTCTTTCTCTGATTTTCAGGCAAACTTTGTCCCCAACTTTTTTCTCTGATTTTTTTTCTAGAGTTTTAGTGGACAAAGTTTGCTTGGACTAAACCCATGATGAAGGCAAAGAATCCAGAAGAAAGCGGGAGACAAGCCATGACCACAAGGAGAAGCTAAAATGTGTTATGAGTGTGAAGCAAGGAACACATTGGTGCCTGCTTGACCTTGAAGTAAGGCCATGATCCAGAGTCTAAGAACTACACCATGAGTTATCTAAAGCTCCTTAGACTCACTAGCCAATCCCTTGGCTTTGAAGAACTCTATTTTTTTCCTTAGCTGGTTTTATCCCAAAAAGGGTTTTCTGGCTAAGGTTTTTACTGAGAGAGCTTCTTCAAGATTCCAAGCTTGTCCAAGGATCTCTTATGGTCAAGCTTGAGGGGAATTGTTGGGATGAAGCAATAAACAAGATTAGTAGGAATAAAATGAAGTGCAGCAAAGTGCAGTGAAGTGAGGTGAAATGCAGCGAAGTGCAATGAAGTGTAGTGAAGTCTGGAAAACAAGATAAGGCAAGAAAGAAATTGGGGAGACTCAATATGGACGTTGAGAGCCTCCAGACGTAAAAGGAATCAAGTTTGGATGGAAGTACTCCGTTCTGGATTGATTTAGACAAAAGGAAGTCACATGTGTTGCTTAAGAGAAGCTGGTGGACCTGTCACTATCAAACCAAAGAGATTGTGCCTCTCTCTCTTGTCACTCTCACTACCTCTGGTCATGCATCACTTGGCATTATCCTCTTTGTCTTCATCAAAAATCCTACATGATTATTTATTTATGTTTCTCTATTTTAATAATTGTTTAATATTGTGTATTGCCTATTTAAAGGCTGCTTCACCATTTGTAGCACTCAACAGAATCAATAGACAAGTTTCTCTCACTAAATTTTGTGTGCTCTCTCTCTCTTACTTGTGTCTAACTAATCTTCACAATGTAAGGGGTTAAGCACTATAGTTTAGATTCTTCTCTTACTTGTGCTTTAACTCCTTATCTCTTAAGATGATTTAATACTTGTCAAACTCACTCTAGACTTTTCTTTATCTACTGTCTTAAATTATAGTTTACTGATTTTAAGTCTCATTCATCTAAATACACACACTCTAAATGTTGTGTTACTTCTTAAGGATTAAATTCATACTAGAGGTTTTCAGGTTCATATAACCAGTTTATTATCTAGGATTCTTGGTTATATAATAAGCTGTGTATGAGGATTCAATCACAAGTTGATTGTCTCTTCCTTGTAACGATGAATTCATGTTGTTAGATAGAAGGGGATTCAGTCACAAATTTACTGAATACTCTTTTGACATGGGACAAACACTCATAAATTTCAAAAGTATATGCATCTCCAATAAACGTGCAATGTAGCTATGGGGTTTACTGGTGAATCTGATTGTCACAAGTTTCACAAACCAATGCAAGTTATGTTTCTTTCATAGGAACGTTAATGAAACTTGCATAAACATATCAGATTCATATGATGATTACCTTGAGGCAGGAAGCACAAAGGGACGTTAAGGTTGTTGCCAACAAGGTCTGACTCTTAGAGCATCCGCAATGGCGGATCTTTGGGGGGAATCCTTAGGAAAATATTAATTTTATAATCAATGGATCCCATGAAAAATTAAAGATTATATCCTTAAAATCCTTATGTAAGGATAGATCCTTACATTATTCGCGGGTTCCACTGCCCACGTGGCGATCCGTGAGTGGTTAATTTTTTTTTTATAAAGAAAAAATCTAAAATATCCTTATATAATCCGAAATACCCCTTTTTCTTTTTTCCTAAGAATCCCCCCTCCCCAGATCCGACTAACAGTGTACGTGAGAATACAATCCCCTGCGAACGGCTTTTTATGCAGGCGCTGTGTATAAAGCGCATGTTTTTGTGTTGTGGTTTTTTATTATGGAAAAATCATATAAAGTCAAATAAATTGAATTATTCACTGTATTTTCTACCTTTTGAAACTGAAAAGTCCAATAAAGTTTCTATTTTTTAAATAAATTTGATTTTCTTTTTATTGTTATTGTTACAATTTGTTTCTAAAAATGTGGCTTCTCGTTAAGCTTCCGTAGATTAGAATACAAGATGTTGTGAGACAAATTCTAAAGCTATCTATAATTACATGTATGCAATTATGTACGCAAAACAAGTGAAAAAAAAAAGAATCAAATAATGATGAAGACCAAGGAGATTTGTATGACAGCTTTTAGCCGTTGCGGCACTTCCCTGAACCGTGAGGAATATTAGTGCAACCGTTCCGACCAGAGCCACTGACCGGACCTCTTTGCAGCGTCTGAAACAGTAGTTTGATCTCATCGACAGCCTCCGGGAAAGGCCTCATGGCTTCAACTTGCGTAACGTCCAAGCTAACAAGGAAAACAATTACTAAGATCATTACGAGCGCTAGTTGTTTTTTCATCATAATTATATTTTTCTTCCTCTCAAAGAAAACAAGATTGAGCTTTCTATTGGTTATGGGAGTGTAGGGTCTTATATTGGTTTTTATGTCTAATTAAGTCGATAACAACTCTTATATATAGGCTTTTTTGAGATGTCACATGGTTTCACTTGGGCAAGCTTCGTCGCACTATCTTATGTTTACGTAGACACACACATTAGAACTTTGACTTTGACTTTACTACAAAAAGAAGTGGTTTTCAACATTTTGAGCCAAAGTGTAGGATATCGTAATAGAAAATTCACTAAGACACGGTTTGTCCAAGTCCACATGGGATTGCAAGACCTGGTCCTAGCTGCTTCACTCTAAACCGAGTTCTAATTTCGGTTTAGATTGCTTGATTTTTTGGTTAGGTAGGTTGATGCAGATTTCTCTTTTCATGTACCACTTTACAACTGTGCTGTCGACACCTGTTTTTTTTAAATTGTATGGCTACTTTCAATCATATGTTCACTATATGAAAAGTGTTCAAAGAAAGCGGTTTAGGCTGCGCTTAAGTGATAAGTCTAGTGATTATATTCTAAACCGATCAGACAATTACAATATTTTAATAATAAATAATATACAATTTATTATTCTAACCATAAGAATTAATATATTACATATAGAATTTTATGAAAATAAAATAATATAAATTTTGTAATTTGTAAATAATGATATTTAATATAGAGTATTACATATATTTGGTATATTTTTATAATTTATAAACGCTTAAGCCACTTGATTAATAACCTAGGCGCAGCTTAATTATTTTAGGCGTTGGGTCATTGTTCGATTACCGTCTAGCGTTTTCTTGAACACTGATGAAAAGAGATAACTTGTATTATTATCTTTGTTTCTATGTTTTACCTTTTTGAAAAATGGAAAGCAAAAGGTTTATTAATCTTATATTTTGTTGTTAACATCATGTACAATCTCAAAAAAAAAAATTTCATTCTTAGAAATAACCAAAAAAAAAAAGATATAATATAGATAAACATCTATCTATATAATATTATTTAAGCAATCAGTTTTCTACGTGTCGCACTCACATTAATACTAAGATTGATTAATTACATACATAACATTTTTTAAATTAAAATTATCAAAAGTTGTAAATATGAACTATATATTACGTGAATTCAAGAAGCAATTTCACAAATATGTATATATATATATATATATATATATATATATATATATATATATAATCTCGTTTGGTATTATCACAAACCATATAAATATAAAACGGGAATATATCAACAGTTGTAAATATGGACTATATTACGTGAATTCAAAAAGCAATTTCACAAATATGGGCTCCTTTGTTATATTTCAAAAATTCAAGAAGCAATTTCACTAAAAGTAATTCATTTCTATATTTTTAAGAGGTGCCCTTACACATAACAATATCTCAAATAACATAAACATCTTATATTTCATTTTCATACAAATAACTTAAAAAATGACTTCTAATTTATAAAAGAAATAAAAGAAACTATTGACTAATTGTTATTATGCTTCAATCATTTTATAAATATTTATATTAATGCATGAGACTTTAAACAATTTTAATTATGTTAGCAAATGTTTCTCTGTACCAATCATCATTTTAATTTATTTCCACTTTATCTAAACATACAAAATCTCTTAACGAATAAAGCATAAACTAAATAAATCATCAGACCAATCATCAAAATCATGAATATAATTAATTAATATATAAAACAATCATAAAACTGATCACAAATCATCAAACTGGTCTAAGTTTGAATACTCAAAATCAGAAGTTCAATTGTGTTAACAACATATTATTATTTAGAATAATTTTATATTTAATTTTTAAACATGTAAATTACAAAATGAATTAAAATTTATAAATAAAAACAAAGCATTAATTTATTAGTTTAATTCTTATAAATATTTAAATCCATATATTTCAAAAAATTATTGGTTATTAGTTGTACAACCTCAAACCAAGGAACACTTCATTTTTACCTTTTTGTTTCAAAACTACATGTGTTTAATTATTCATAAATATATATATATACATACGTAAAACAAAAATTCAACTTGATCATATAAACTCAGTTTACTTAAAATAATGAAACCAATCAAATTTTGTATCATATGTTTAATTAATATAATAAAATTTAAATATTGATTTTTACTTATTTCCTTACATATGTATTATAAACCAATTTAGATTATAAAAATTAAAGTAAAATACTAAAATATTATATTTTTATAAAAATATTTATCTGTGTATAGGAGAGTCACCTAGTAATATAATAAACATCAATTTTGGTCTTGTATGCTTTTCTTGAAATTTGACTTTAGTTTGGGTCCTTGGGAAGAAACTCGGCTTGAAGACATTTGATGAAGCTTTCTTTTTTTTGAAAAAACATTTTGATGAAGTTTAAACAAGGTATATGTTGGAATGAATCAAACAGGTTGATATGTTGGAATGAATCAAACAGGTTGATACACGACTTGGTTCGCCTTACACTGCGACTTTTTATTCATCCGAGGTACAGATAATTAACTGAAAAATCGGATCTTTATCCCGGTTTAAGTATGTCGGGTAGTAGATATCTATGTTTATAAAAGAGTGTTTTTTTTATTTCCAAACCATTCATGTCATCCGCCACGTCAGAAAGTCGAGCAAAGATATAACGACACATGTCCAGATAAATTAAATATTGTAAGTCAAGAATAAAAATAGAATAATAATTAAGATTTAATCAGTTATGAATTTAACAATTATTTTCATCAAAATTAATCAAGTATGATAAATACAATTAGACAATAATTAGTCTATGTTTCAGATAAAAACATATTTTGGAAAAAAACATTAAACAAGAAAAGGCTATTATATTTACCTAAATACATTTAATTCGTTGAGCAAGAAAAATATATTAAATCCATAAGCTGAAGTTGAACACAATTAGTATATATGTATGTATCTTTGAATAAATGTTTTATTTTCTAAAATGCTAAGTTAAAATGTCTTAAAATTCTATAATTTTATTAAAATATAAAATATATGTTAGAAAGTCACATTTAAAAAATGTTATTAAAATAACTAAAAATAAATAATATTAGAAAACTTTAAAGCTGTGCTCAACAGATTAAACTAACTGGTCTAATTCAAACACACAAAAACAATCTTTGTGAGAAGAAGTGACCAATGTACATTTGCCGAAATCCAAAAACAACATTCCAATGAAATAAAAAATAATATTAAGAATATCAAACAAAATAAGATCAAAGAAGATGCCATGAAAATGTTAAAATTTCAGTTAAAATTAGTAATTATCTTAGTATCAATTTTGGTACCAGTTATTTTTAATTCCAAGGAATTCTTTAAGGTTTTTATTTTCAGAAATTAAATAATTATCTAGCAATAATAACAATAAGTAACAATAGTGTAAATTTTGTATTTCAAAATAATATAATTAAGAAATTTTTTTATCCATGATATATAATTAATCTTATATTTAATTATATATCATGGAATACAACAAATGTCGATCCATTTATAGCATTTTCAAATAAATTTCACATCAAAATTATTTTAAATATTAAGTATATAGTAAAATATTACAGTGTAGTATTTTGTGTGTTTAAATAAATATTTTAGTTGATTCTTTTTATCTGAACTAAATATGATTCATTTTTGTTTAACAATTGTTCTTTGAACTGATCAACGAGAAAACAAATGATACATATTTTATAAAAAGTAGAAGATAAATCATCTATCACACAATTTACTTAGCTGTAATGATTTTGGGGTTCAGTTTACTGAAATTCTATATAAAGCAATTTCACGTAAGTAATACCTTAAACAATATATAATTGCATTTTTGAAATTGAAAAAGTTCATGTCGAATACTTAACGAATCCATTTGCAGCGCGAAGCGCGGCTCAGCCCTAGTATTATATACCTTAGAGTATAAACTGATCCACAAACCACAACAGGACTGTTTGTTATGTGAACGCCGCATCCAGCGTCAGTGGCCGAAAACCAAGGCAAAACACAGCAAACCCCAACATTGATAAAACAAAACCAGTCTGTCTAGCTTAACGCTGCGGCTGATTGTGAGTAGTAGAAGGACACCGAATACAGGGTTGGCCTATGGTATAAACTAGTGAAGCCGTCACTTAGGGCAACACACTTTTGGAGGGTACATTTTAGTTTCTTTTTTGCTTTTTATAAATTACCAAGTTTTGTAAGGTTTTTAGCTAAAATAATATTTATGGGCATTTTTAATCAAAAAAAAAATTATTAGATCTTTTCACAGTATTTATAAACTTTATATTAACAAATCTTTAGTTAAATACATTATTTAAATATTTATTAGGATATTGATATTTAAAATTATAATAAATATCAATCTATACTATTAAAAGGTAATGAATCTTTAAAAAGCTACTTATAAAAGGTTTGTTGGACCTATTCAATATAATTTTAATATGTCTTATTTAATATCCCACTATATATTAAATGAGAAGTCAATTTAGTGATTTTTGCTTAGGTGTCACTCATAGGTGAAGTTTAGAATTAATTCTTTTAATTTGATTGATTGTTTATATTTGAATTTTTATTTATTTAAATCAAAACTTTAAAAGGAAACTAACCATAGAGTTACCTAATATAATATATGTTACCAAATAAATAATCAAACATCTTAAATTTAAATGAATTAACATACTTTTTTTGTTAAAACAATTGATTATCATAGATTATGTTATATAAATTTATAATATAAATATAAATACATATGATACTACGTAAAAAATTATAGAAACGGTTTTAAAAATATTATATTTATAGTGTATACAATAAATCATAGATTACAGAAAACTAATAAATAGAACTAATAATATTTCTACTCACTATATACATATATTATAAAAATGTGTCAAATGAATGCAAACAATCAAATATATAATTTTAAAAAATTCCAATCATTGTAATTGAC